GACAGGGGGGCGTCATTTTGGCGTCTGACTAAGAGCGTCTTGTCATTTAACAATTGTTTAACAGTTTCGAATGCTTTAACAGCTTCTGCGGGCAAATGGAATGAACGACTATGTCCACGTAAGCAATCGGTTAATGGTTGTAAAGCTTTAGCACAGTTCGGAATAAAACGCCGGTAAAAATTAACGAGACCCAAAAATCGTCGTAATTTCTTAGAAGAATCTGGTAATGGATAATCTTTGATAGCTTGTACGTCATCAGGGACTGGTCTGATTCCTTGGCTATCGATTCAATGACCGAGAAATTTCAGTGAGGTCTTACCAAATTCGCATTTGTCTAAGTTGATAGTCATACCGTATTGCTTAAGTCTTTCAAACACAGTCTTCACATGTTTCAAATGCTCGGCTTCGTCTGCACTTGCAATTAGTAAGTCATCGATGTATGCGTAGACGAAAGGGAGACCACGGAGTACTTGGTCAATTAGGCGTTGGAATGTCTGAGCGGCGTTCATAAGTCCGAATGGCATGCGTACGAATTCATATAAACCGAATGGTGTGGTAATGGCAGTTTTCGGAACGTCATCCGGGTGGATGGGGATATGATGATACGCTCTGACAAGATCGATTTTAGAGAAAACTTTAACATCTGGTAAGTTGCTAGCGAAATCGTGGATGTGTGGTATTGGGTATCGATCAGGTACCGTTTGCTTGTTTAAAGCTCGATAATCACCACACGGCCGTATTTCGCCAGAAGACTTTTTGGGCACCATGTGAAGCGGTGAAGACCAAGAGCTGTTGGACGGTCGAATAATACCAAGCTCTAGCATTTTATCGAACTCTGTTTTGGCGATTTTAAGTCGATGTGGGTCAAGGCGTCGTGGACGTGCAAAAACTGGCGGTCCAGTGGTTTTAATATGATGAACCACGTGATGCTTTGGTTCTGTTCCTCGAAAAGAAGGTTTTAAAAGGTCAGAAAACTGATTTACCAAGTTGGTATATGGAGATGCTGGTGTGCGTGTGACCATCGAGTTCAACGATGATGCACGGCTAATCGTACCAGCAATGTACGTTTTATTGAGCGAGTCTATAAGCTTGGGGCTTATCGGATCAACTAGCAGTTTGTGCTGCTGTAGAAAATCAATACCGAGGATTGGGGATGGGACGTCTGCAATGATGAAAGACCAAGTGTAGGTATTCTTTAAACCAAAATCTAAAGTCATTCGTTTAGTTCCATATGTAACAATACTGGACTGATTAACAGCTTGGAGCGTAACTGCTGGGTCAGGATGTTGACGTTCCTGTGTAGACGGAGGGAGAACACTCACCTCTGCTCCTGTGTCAACTAAGAATGTAGTTCCGGTATTTTTATCTGTTACATAAAACAAACGACTGTTAGATCGTAGATTGCCAACAGTATTTTTTACACATGACGATATATCTTTTGGTTTAGTCTGAAAGTTGCAAGGTGAACGGCACCGTCGTGCATTGCTTCCATAACTACGGGGATACCAGCAAATATTATCGCGATGTCGTAACGTGCTAGGGGATCGAGAAAGACGTCGACGAGACGAGCTTCTAGAACGACTTGGTTGTGTGCGTGTAGTCAGTTTTGCTAACTGACTCAGTAAGGTGTCGACTGTGTTGTAGAGTCTGTATTCTATCGTGAGTGTCTGGTATTCTGCTAGTGGAAGCGACAGATTGAGGTGTTGACCTCTCGTACATGCGATCCGCGATTTCGGTGAGCCTTTCTATGTCAATGTCGTCGTCTCCGAAAGCAAGAACCTGCTGGATGTTTGCGGGAAGTCGTCGTAGCCATATTTGGTAAAAGAGACGTTTATCGATTTCTCTTCCGGCAACTAGGCTTTGCATATGCCTCATGAGTTGAGATGGGGTTTTATCACCTAACTCAGCATTGCTTAACAGGCGATCGAGTGCTTGCCTATCTGAAAGCGAAGTGCATCGAAGTACCTCTTCCTTCAACTTGTCGTAAGGCGCTTCTGTGCTGGGTTGAACGATGTATTGCCGTACCTGCTCGGCGACTTCGTCTGGTAGTACTGTACTTAAAATGCAGAATTTAGCTGTCTGTAACGTTAGCTTATTGCTAGCCAAATAATGTTCCAGTCGAGCAAACCAAAGATGAGGGTCTCTGGGCTTAAAAACTGGTACAGTAAGAGAAATAGTACTAACAGATCCCAGCTCTAAGTTATCAGAGGTATTGGAGGGCATGTTACAATTCGTAAAAAAATGGTTTAAGAGTAGCAAAATGGCAAAATTTGTGCACAATAAGAATACGGCAAAATAAAAAAGCATACAATGCAGGTGCTTACCACAAATTACTGCAGGTTGTGCTATGAGCAAACACAATAATGGGTTCGAAATGTTTAATAAATATATAGATCCACGAAAGTTAGAGTTTTAATAATCCAGCTAGTGTAACGACGGGTCGAGGTCAAAAAGTCGTCGGAGTCAGCAATTTGTCGTCGGGCTCACCAATTTGTCGCGTGTTCTATTTGACTGAATTAGCGTACACATATTTCCTAGTGCTTCTTCACGTTTATCAATGTGCGCAGACGTTGTGGCTACTCGACACCCACAACGTAAAATCAGAAGGCACTTGTGAAGAGTGTAATCGTGTATTCTAGCAGTAGTCAAATTTCGAAATTGTATCAAGGTAACGTTCAACAGTAAAAATGACAAATGTTTACGAAGTACATATAAAATCGGTATGTGTAAACATATAATATGAGTATGCAAATTAGATTAAAATCCTATGTTTATAGTTGGTACAGGGGTACTACATGTCCACTATCTGCATTCATATTTAATTTCATCGTAGATGTACTAGGGTTAACTCACCCTAATTGACTTCAGGGACTCAGGGATTGACTTGTTACAAGGACATGATCCTTTCAAGTGAAGACTTTGACAAAGTGCAGTCTTCCGGATACCTTTGGCAAAATTCTTTGAATGTTTGGCATGCGAGTGGCTCCTGTCTAGTGGAAGATAATACTCGGGGACTAGACTGCGCCTACTCCTAGCTTAAAGGCAGCGTGTAGCCGTAGAGGGTGTTGACTACTTCGATTATGTGGGAAGTTGTATCGACCCGAACAGACCCACTGTTCACGAACTATCAGTACTCATAAAAGGCTCGTGTTGTATTTGCCAACTGATGTCATTTCTGGCGTGGACGTGATGTCCGTCTTTCACACCATGAATCACACAAAGACAATAAACGAAGAGAGAAAAAGTTCGAAATGACTATAGTAAGCAGGAGATTGACAGAGAAAGATCAGTAGCACGGTGAAACATAAGGGTTTATTAGATATGGGAAATTACAATGACATGTGCACTGCACAGCGATTCACCTTATCCTGCTTTATTGCTGTAGGATATGGCTGAGGAAGGTGGAAGATATGAGAAGGCTAGCTGTCTTTGAACAGAGATGTTTGCGCTCTATCTCCCGTGTTAAATGGTATAATATGGTGTGTAATATTGAAGTTAGGCGTGGTGTTAGTTAGGAACGGTGAATCAGTCTATGAGGTTGTGGAGATAAGTCGATTGAGAAGGCTGGGATACGTGCAGCGCATGTCGAGGCGTCGTCTTCCTCGACAAGCAATTTTAGGTGACGGTTGTATTGACAAAGAGTTGACGACCGTCAACGCAAAACTTGTTATCAATGTAATTCGCACTACATAGGGAGTTGTGGATGGCTTGACAAAGTCTTCGGGATACTAAGAACCGGTGACTGCAGATTATCGGTGATATAGCTCAGAATGCTTCTCACTGACGCAGATGCATTGATTATTTTTGGCTTTCTATGTCGATGAAACCTTTATGTTTCCCTAAGCTTCTATCCCCTCGTACATTTCTACCTATTAGCTTTTTGGATTTCTTTTCTGTCTCCTCTATCTCTGCTTACCACATAAAGTGTGACAACTTGAACAGCTGCACTTCTGTGCAAGTTTCTGTGTGGAAATTCATTCGCTTAATGCTTCGTTCCTCCACTTATATGGATACATATTATTCCGGTCGTACGAACTCGGTATTGATTTAAGACACAAAAATTCGGTGTTCTATCACTCTCCGCTGAATTATTTTGAAATGTAGAATTTTTGTCCAACCCTATCACATACAGTGGTTTGAAATCTATGCCTACATTACCATAGCTGTGTTGCTTTCGAGACTTCGTACACACTTATCAACTCTTTACTGCTATCACATGCATATCTGGCAGCGGTGCAAACTCGCCCACAGACTCCCAACGTAGTGTCAGGAAATTACATTAAGGTGGTAACTTCTATTGATCTAACGACCTTCCTGCAATGGTGAGACTTGTAGAATCATTATTTCCTGCCAGTGTTGTAGCTTGTCGGTTCATTGGGATATGCAGGCCCGACCATTATGTCAAGATACCAGCTATCAGTCGGGATTAAGTCTCTAAAGAACCGTAAATTTCGATTTCGAAGGTTGTTTGATTAATTTGATATGATTATGAGCCATAAATTGTGCTTGAATTATCACCTAGTGAACATTGTGTCAATTAAATCAAATAAAATCAAATAACTCACATGAGATTATGCTATACCTGAATGTAGATGTACTACTGTTATATCGTGTTACATTTTCATGCAGCAGTTTGACACCTTGTAATGTTTGCCGATTTTGTTCCACCTAAATAAATCATAGTAAAATCTGAATATTAAAATCTCTAAAGATAGACATTAAGCAGTTAATGCATTTCAACATCAAAAACAACAACAACTTTATTGATGTGGTTTCATGCTTTGTGTACAATGAACGGACCTACTGAATTTAACATTATTTTGTTGTTGTTTTTTTTGTTTTACTCCCGATTGTGATGCGTTTTTCAGCCGATTGTTTCTCTCACTGAAGATGATGAAGAAATATCTCCTGATTTGAGCGATTTACTTCCAAAGATTCGTAAGATTATAGATGTAAGTTGTTCATTCCTAATTAATTTCTTTTTATGCCTGATTATTTAGCAAAATGTCATGAAACCTGTTGATCCCGAGTTATGTCAGTTGTTAAAGTTATTGAGTGAAGGTCTGAGTATTGCTGACAGACAGGATGGATTTTCCAAGTATTTACGTGATCAAGAAAAAATGCATCTACCAGCCTCATCTACATCACACAGGTTAGTTGAAGTAAATTTAACGTATATATATATATCGTGTTTTTTTTCTTCTTCTTCAGAGAAATCATGGAGATGGTTAGTTCATTGAATGTATTTTCAGCTAAGCTGACTTTAACTGCTGACACTGTTGACCAAATGGTAACCCTGTTTTTTTTTCGAAATTATTTATTGAGTGATTTTACAGAAAAACAAGACATTGATTCACAACCATGGTCTAAATACTCAACCCTCTGAAGATATTAATTTTGATGGATAAGAATCTGAAGGCATCTGTAAAGCGCCATGTTCCGGAGGTGTGTGTGTTTGAATCTAAAAGTGATTGAATTTCTGTAATTGTGTACATAAATAACAGCGAGGAAATTACACAATGGAAAATGAAAAATTCGATTTACAGTGAAAGCAGCAATTTAATACCCTTTTTGAATAAAATGGAATTTTATACTGAGTTATTACTTTTTTCCTCTCAAACTATTATTGACATAATTTGTGTTGTCACTATGTGTATGTTTACAGCCTGAAGTCGACAGTTACTGTAGTCCATAACATATCAGTTGGACAAAGTCAACATAGGTAATGAACTACTAAAATAGAGTTGGGGACTGACAGATAAGCAGGAAGAATTTGTCCTGAATTGGACTGAATTTTTTTTTTTAAAACGTAGAACTTTGTATAAAAGTGCAGTAGTTTAGTCGTCTAGAATTTATATTAGTTAGTTTACTTGCCTATTATTTAGCCGCCACTATCATACTAGTTAGAAATTGATGTTTTTGTTGTACTTGTTCGTTTAAGTGGTGTTTACATGCTGCAGTTTATTTCTTTAAATTCTAAGTGGAACATAGGGTTTCAGTGTTTTCTTGAGCTTTGTAGTTTCGATAGCAGTGGTGTTATGTTTACGTGGTGGGAGGTTGCTAGCCTCATATCCAACTTTCACTCTTTACTGGTCTACACTACCGACTTAGCGAGGTTTTGGAAGTGCATCGGTTAAGGATTGAACGCCGGACCACTTGCTTGGTTGGCAAAAATCCTATTGCTGAACCGCACACAACGCAGCACATACTGTTATAAAGTTGGTGAACTAATTCACTTCAAAGGGGTTGACGATTAATTACAGGCATTACGAAAAACGTCAAATCGTATGCGCTGCCCAAAGGGTAATTCTTGTGGTTCAGTAGCTTCAACAGGAAGACTTTGAGGTTTGGAATGATATGTCTGCCTACTGGTCTCAGTGGGAACCTCGTTTGTTGAGATCCGAAAAATTTTAGAAAGAGCGAAACTATTGTCTTAGGTTTCATTTCTAGCCACTGCAAAACATGTAGCGTCTAGGTACTAAGATTAGTCGACTGTGTTGATAAGAGGTAATAGTGTGGTTGAGAGCTGTCTACTAGCCAAATTGGTAGACAGTAATTTACGTCAATGTTTACGTTCTCAAGATTGGTCGTGAGAAAATATGAACAAGACTGATTCAAAAACCGACCACAGCAGAATTTGAGTAGGCGGATACAGTTGACATATAGATGATCTGTCGCCTGGCCCTTGTCTTCTGTTGTTACAATAGTTGTTCAGCCTATACCGGGAGGCAAAGCTTGATACGTTTTACACAAAGCAGACATCATAAGATAATATGACCCTTACTACTTAATTACAAAAGATTAAAACAATTTTCCGGAAAAAAAACTAAATTAACGAGGTCAATTGCTACCATTGAATTATGATAAGTAAAACGTATCAAGCTTTGCCTCCCGGTATAGGCTGAACAACTATTGTAACAACAGAAGACAAGGGCCAGGCGACAGATCATCTATATGTCAACTGTATCCGCCTACTCAAATTCTGCTGTGGTCGGTTTTTGAATCAGTCTTGTTCATATTTTCTCACGACCAATCTTGAGAACGTAAACATTGACGTAAATTACTGTCTACCAATTTGGCTAGTAGACAGCTCTCAACCACACTATTACCTCTTATCAACACAGTCGACTAATCTTAGTACCTAGACGCTACATGTTTTGCAGTGGCTAGAAATGAAACCTAAGA